ATATAAATATGTGTGTGTGTATGTATATGTATATGTATATATATATATAGATATAAATTTCACAGATCCAAAGACAGGCTGTGCTATGGCAGTTTGTGATATCATCCTTCTTCGCCTTGCCTTCCAGTGCTCTCGAAGATTCCACTGGGTCTACCGCAACAGTTAGGGAACCATGTTATTATTCACTGGATATCTACTCTTACGGTAGTTCGATCTATACAAATATAGAATCTAGAACGCTTCTAGATGCTTCTAGCTTCTAACCCGAACTCCTTAACAGAGCACCGTGGAGTGTTTCCTAATCTTCGGATGTGGCGTTGCTGTTGAAGGAGACCATTCTTTCTGGCTGACCTGGGTCTTGGCGTTTGCAAGTCTGCGCTGCGATACCTAGGACTCTGGAGGGCAGGGGAAGGATGGCTGAGTAGATAACTTCAAACCTCTTGGGGCTTGTATGATCCCACTATATTTATAATTCAAAGGGTTAACCTTTTTTGAGCTAGGGTACTCAGGCCCTAAGATAATTTCTGCCCTGAGGTTCACGGTAGTGAAGAGATGCTATCCAGGAGAGATACCATCGACGATTTTCATCAGCCACAACCACAGTGACCATGCGGGCGAGCTGCCGGTCGTGCTGGCTGTCGAAGGCCGCGGCAGCCACCTTAGGTTGAAGGCTTTGGTTTTTCGGTTTTGCCACGAAGAGCAGTCAGAGAGGCCTGCAAAAACAGCGGCCAATGTGCGTCATCGCCGAGACAGAAGTGCTGGCCAGGTAGGGGCCTCGGGCTGTTTCGCGTCCCATGTTGCATGGCCTGGGACTGCAGAGACACTGGCAGGCTGCAAGTCTATCGGATGCACGAGATGCGCAGCGTGGGACGTGACATGAGCGATTTCGCTGCATGGGTTCCAGCCCCGGAAGGGGAGCTGGTCACCGTCCAAAGCGAGGCGGCCACTCAGCGGTCTTCACTTCGATTTCTTGAGACGTCTTTGCTCGTAGGCGGGGCCCCTGCGTCTCACTAGCCACCGGGCACAGCACAGTGAGCTGTGCTTCGGTGCCCGACTTGACATCGGCTGGAGTCCTGGAACTGGCTTTCAGATTCAGCGGTTTTGAGGAGCTGCATATGGATGTTGCAAATAAGATAAGGCAGCAACTCGATCGGCTGGACGGCCGACAGCGGCTTCTCTCCAGCGCTTCTGCGGGCGCTGCGATGCCCGAAGCTGCTCCTCATCGATGCCCGAAAGGCCGGTATTGTGCAGCTGTGGGATTCCGTGAAGCGGCGCGAGCGAGCATGATTACGATGATCATGACGATGTTGATGACACTGATGAGGAGGAGGAGGAGGAGCGGCAGGAGGAAAGTCAGGAGGGGCAGGGGTAGGAGCGGCAGGAGAAGGAGGCAAGGAAGAGTAGGCGGACAATGACGATGCCGCTGCGATGGCCCCATCGTGACGGTGTGCGTATCTAGTCAATCTAGTCTTAGCCCTAGTCCTCGTCAGCGGTATCCTGGTTGTTGATCATCATCGTCATCGTCACCTCTGCTGTCTTAATCGTCAGCAGTCTCACATCCACTGGTGTATTCCGTCGCTTTGTAGTCATCTTATACAAGAGCTTACTTATGAATATATATATAAGTTATATAAGTACACCCCTACATCTAGATCATCTAAGCCTCCATAAACCTACGCAAACCTGTGCAGTTGCATATACATTTACATACACATAAACATACACATACACAATCATATACATGTGCGAATACATATACACACATGTGCACACAATCTCTATCTATCTATATATATATATACATATATATGTATATATATATAATCACAAATCATATTCAGATGTATGTATATTTACGCATGTGCATATATATATATATATGTATATATATACACACAAAAATACAGCTATCATTATGCACACACTTGTTTATACATGCACGCGTGCATGCATGCATCTATCATATAATACAGGTGCGAATACGAATAAATATACACATGCATATACATCTACATCTACATGTACACATACATACACATGTGTGTATATATATATATATATCTATAACATATACGCATATGCGTATATGCGCGTGTGTGTGTGTATATGCTTATGTCGATGTACGTGTATATGTATATGCAAAAGTATATGTGGAGGTAGAGGCATGTGCATGTCTATGTGGACGTGGACATGGATATGGCTATGGATATGTATATGTCTTTCTGTCGGTCGGTCGGTCGGTCGGTTTGTCGGTCTGTCGGTCGGTCGAGCGGTCGGGTGGTCGGTCGGTCTGTCTGTCCGTTTGTCTGTCTGCCTGTCTGTCTGTATGTATATATGTATGTATGTATTTATGTGTGTATGTACGTATGTGTGTCTGTATGTATACAAAGACACATGCAGACACACATGCACACAAGCTGTAGCAAGCACACACACACACATATCTATTTACCCATCTTCACTATGCATCCATCGGTCTATCCATCTATCAATCCTATCGATTTATCTATCTGTCTATCTATCTATCTATCCATCTATCTATCTAACCTATCCATCTAACTATCCATCTACCTATGTATCTACCTGTCTATATATCTATCTTTCTATCTATCCATCGAACCTATCCATCTATCTATCTATCTATCTATATCTATGCAGCTAGCTAGCTATATGTATGTGTATATATGTATATGTATATAACTATATGTACATGGATATAGTTAGACATGTTTGTACTTATGTAGAGATGCGAAAGAGGGAGAGAGAGAGCGTCAAGCAATTCAGGTGGTTTGCAGGTTTATGACCATTGATTGCATTTTGCCCATTGCTGGTAGTGCACCCAAAGGTGTCCGTAATCACCGTGTGCGTTGTTGTGCATTTAGTTTGTTGTTGCTGTTGTTGTTGGTGTTGTTGCTGCTGCTGCTGTTGTTGTTGTTGCTGGTGTTGTTGTTGCCCCTGCAGGTAAGCTGGGTTGGTTACTGAAGTGCGGGTCTCTCTAGGATTTGCGCTGAGCCGGTAACGATGATGCCGATGGAAGCAGTGACATCGTGTAACGATGATGTTGGCGATTCTGGTGACAATGGTGCTGGTATTGATGAGTTTGATGATGATGATGATGATGA